ACATTCTCCAAACAGTCATCTCTCCTGTCAGAACTAGGCATGCTTTAGTGGATATTAAATGGTTGAATCCTGACAAGACAGAAGTATTGTTTTGGGGGGAAGGAGGCAGGCAGGTGTGGAGGATAACTGTGAATGGGGTAACTGGCCCCGAAGGACCAGGTGTGCAGCCTGGGAGTCATTTTGGATTCACAGATGTCCATGGAGGCACAGGTCAATTCTGTGTCCAGACCAGCTGTCTACCAGCTCCATTTGGTATGCAGGCTGAGACCCTACTTGCCTGTGGACTGTCTCGCTAGAGTGGTGCATGCCCTGCTTATCTCCTGCTTGGACTACTGCAATGCACTCTACCTGGGACTACCTTTGAAGGTGACCCAGAAACTACAATTAATCCAGAATGCAGCAGCTAGACTGGTGACTGGGAGCGGCCGCCAAGACCACATAATACCGGTCTTGAAAGACCTACATTGGTTCCCAGTACGTTTCCGAGCACAATTAAAAGTGTTGGTGCTGACCTTTAAAGCCCTAAATGGCCTCGGTCCAGTATACCTGAAGGAGCGTCTCCACCCCCATCGTTCTGCCCGGACACTGAGGTCCAGCGCCAAGGGCCTTCTGGCAGTTCCCTCACTGCGAGAAGCCAAGTTACAGGGAACCAGGCAGAGGGCCTTCTCGGTAGTGGCACACATCCTGTGGAACGCCCTCCCACCAGATGTCAAAGAGAACAACTACCAGACTTTGAGGTGACATCTGAAGGCAGCCCTGTTTAGGGAAGCTTTTAATGTTTGATGCATTACTGTATTTTAATATTTTGTTGGAAGCCGCCCAGAGTGGCTGGGGAACTCAGCCAGATGGGTGGTGTATAAAGAATAATCATAATAATAATCATAATAATCATAATAATCATAATAATCATAATAATCATAATAATCATAATTTGTGCTGTACAAGGAGAGCCCAGTACCCCTGTTTCCCTGCTGTAAAGACTCATCTCTGCTGCACCTGTGATTGTGATTGTTTCTGGTTCTACATTCCCATAGCCAGGGCCAAACCTCTGAATCTGGCCATGGAGACTCTGCTTCTCTGAAATGGCTTGGCTTGTCAAAGTTTTGAGGTCCACAAGAGTTTCGGAGGCAACTAGAGTCTGTGTTGCAAACAAAGACAGACACCCTGGGCCTAATGGAGAATGAAGACACCACCTGGCAGACACTAAGCAATTCTGCATCTCATCAGCGGCTGGATCAGCAACTACTTGGGCGCCACATGTACATTGAAATAGGAATATAGGAAGCAGCCTTATGCTGAGTCAGACAATTGGCTCATCTAGCTCTGTATTGTCTGCAGTGATTGGTAGAGGCACTCTATGTCAGGTTTAGCGCTTCTTCCACACAAGACACAGAACGCTGGCAGTTTAAGTAGCTGAGGTTTATTTCTCAATAACAGTCCAAGCTTCCACAACTCATCCTTCACCATCAGAGTCAGTTGACTCGACTGGCTTCTGACCCATCCCAAGGCCAGATATATGCCACATCCTCCCCCACCTCCTGCTGGCCCACCTCTGCTCTAATCACTTGCTCCGCCTCCTACTTCTTGGAGACACAGGTGCAGCCAATTCCTCTTCCTCTGGAGATTCCTCTCTGCTGGGCTTGTCCCTGAAATCCTAGTACAGCCTTTCTCAACCTGTGGGTCCCCAGATGTTGTTGGACTACAACTCCCAACATCCCTAGCTAGCAAGGCCAGAGCTCAGGGATGGTGGGATTTGTAGTCCAACAACATCTGGGGGCCCCCAGGGTGAGAACTGCTGCTCTAGGATTTCAGGCAGTAGCCTCTCCCAACCATAACTGGAGATACTATTGCAGATTGAACAGGGGGTGCCCTGTGACTCTTCCCTTTTTGATGAATCCATGCTTCTGAAAGCCAAAAGGTTGTGCGAAGGGGAAAGAAATCAACTTTCAGCCCTTGTTCATGGAAACTTTTGATACATCAATATCAAGTCCCAGCATCTCTGCAGCGAAGAGGCAGGAATGTAATTTAGCACGTTATCATTTCCCAGGAAAGCAAATGAGTGAAATCTAATTGGCTTTCCCATTACAGAGAACCTCAGTGATTGTAGCAGTGACGCTTTCACACTGGGGAAGAAGAAAAACATGCTCAAGACA